TATATATATATATACTGTTATGCCTATGAAGCAAGAAGATCAACATGATAACAGTGGACTGGGGACTGCTACCTTTCCTATTGGTGTCGATGCCGCCTTGATAGCTTCTTGAATTCCGAGAGCTGTAGCCACAGCAACTTCCGCTACCAAGTTGTATCCATTCACGTGACCTTTTCCCTTGACAGCGTCAAACTGACAGATAATGGCAATATTTGGCCTCCGTGCGCCGCCAACTTCGCTCTCTCCAAACTCGGCCATGAAGGCAGTCGGCAGGCCCTTCAACTTCTTAGTGATCTTAAAGTTGTTCTTTTTCAGGAAACGGGTTAGAGTTTTTGCAGTCTTAACTTCCTGAAATAGAACGTCGAAAATGGATATGCTTATGAGGTTTTTGCTTTCTTTTAAAAGAATAGTTTGAGTTTGTGGTTTGGAGACAAATTTCTCCCTGCGAGATGAATGAAAATTGTCATTGTCATTGACATTGTCATTTATGTTGTTGCTTTTCGTTTGTTCGTTGGTTTACTGCTTTCATTTGTTTATTTGTTGGTGTTGGTTTTTTGTGTACATGTATTTATTTGTTTGTATAAATGGCAAGATGTTTTACTACGGTTTTGCGTGGGTTGTGGAGGAGGGGGGGGTGTAAGTTTTTTTGTCTAGCATGTTGTTCGCGTTTTTAACTCAGGATTCATACTCACGAGGCCAGTGTCGAAACAAATGTACCAGACAAAAACTGTGGACAGTCACCTGTACTTTGTACACTGCAAAGGACTAGCGTCTGTGGTGTATCGATCACGCGCTTCGCTGTTGCACTCGGGTGAACCGTGGTCAGTTCCAGAGTGAGGACAAAATTAAATTCTTGTCGCGTTCTTTCGGCTGGGATGCTTATCCCTCTCAGCCCGGGTTGGATCTGACATACAGGTTCAGAATCGCGCCTCCTAAATGATCTAAATTGTGTCCAGGGGAGCGTAAAGACACATACTATTTTTTTTCAATACACTACTAGGGATCTAGGCTAGAGTCAATGGAAGGCTAGAGATTAGTTTTAAGGCCACTAACTGGATTATGATTGAGGCACTCAGGATTCGGAGAGTAAACACGTTGAGGCTTAGGATTTCAATTTTTGTTTAAAGTAAAAGTTTTCGGCTCTTGCAACACAATTAGGTCATATAAATGTTGAAGATTTGTTGTTGTTATTTTTAAAAAATTATTATTGTTAAGTTTTCCTGTCTCTCAGACCATTTGGCTCAGTCCTATTGAAGACGACGCGTAAACTGAAATTCGGATGTCCCACCACTTAAATAACCTACTAAGTGTTAAACCTGAAAACTTTATTTTTATAATTTTGCTTTCTGGGCTTAGAACCTTGCTCAAAAGCTGGTGGTTGGTGGGTGCTTTGATATGGTTTGCTCCTTCTTTCTTTTCAAACATTTATCGCTCTTATCTCTAACAGAATTACACTTCTTTTTGTGTTTGGTACTTGTGATACCTTTAATCTTTGACACTTATATTGACCTTTGTGTTGCAATTGCCATAGAAAGCTTACTAAAACAAATATTAAATACGCCCATACATACCCCCATCCCACACACACACCACACACACACGCACGCGCGCGCCCGCTCACACACACACACACACACACACACACACACACACACACACACACACACACACACAAGCTTTGCTCAAAATTGAAAAGCTTGCCGACCTCACAAGAGAACGTGCCCGTGTGCGGGCTAGATCTAGATTTCACTTAACCTACCCGTTTGCCCACTTCCGCGTATGCCCAAATCCGTTTGGACAAGGCGTGCAGTCCAGCCTCTTGCTGCTCGATAGCTTGACATGCGCAACACTTGTACTGATCCATGCTGTAGGGTGCCTGCTGTTCCTACTTGCCCAGTGCACACTGCCAATCGGTTGGGTTTGTTTGGGTTTTTTTTTGTTGTAAAACAGAGTGTTGGTTTTAGTAAGAGTTTTACGGCACTTGCAACACAATAAATTATATATAAGTACCGAAGGTTAGAAGAGTTACAGGAAAGTAACAAATACAAAAAGGAGCAAGAGAGATCAGGACGATGAGTGTTTGATAGGAAAGAAGGAGCAAACGACATGAGAGCACCCGCCAACTACCCTGCAATCGTTTGTTTGTTTGAGTAAAGAGAATCACACCGACACAATAATGGCCGTTTGGTGTTGGGGGGAAATAAAACAGACAGACAGAAACAACACAGGGAGAGTGATGAAGTAGGATACACCAGTAGGGCCCCCAACCCACCCGCACAGCCAATCAGAGGCGTGCCAACTTTTTCAAACCCCAGTCAGGGGCAACTAATGTTATAATATCAGATTACGTACCACCAAACAGATATACCATTAAGTTGGACTTGCTCTTGGTGTAGTGTGTATGGAAGGAATATCTTTTCAATTTCCGGATAACCGAATCCAGAATAGTTTTAGGAAATTCAGTATAGATGGCAGACTTGCTATCAAATTTATCGGACAGGATCGGGGCCATAGTTTACTTTCTATAATACTTTTCTAACGTCACTTTCAGCACAAACGAGTCATAAAAGTGCTAAGGATTAGAGATTAGAGGTGTCACTATAGAGTAAAACACAAAGAAAAGAAGAAAGAAAAATGGAAGTTTTAGATGATTGTTAGGAAAGAAGGAGCAATCCACACCAGAGCATCCCCAATCACTCTCCCATTTTCCTTCAAGGATGGGGCGAAAGCTACCATTTTAGGCACGATACTGAAGTCTACCGTGCCCTTCAAATCAAACGCTTTATTTTTCAAGGTTGCTTGTTGAATCTTTGTATTGTGCTGGAATAGTAGCACTTTTGCCCCAACGTGTCTAACCGCGACTCAATCCAATTGCCAGTGCGCACTGGCTATACCAGTACAGCTTTGGAGAGATCAGGGAAGGGTGTTTATGCTAGAGACTGGAGGGCCTGACCTCAGCGAAGCGTACCGAAAAAGGAAGTTAAGCTGACGTTAATGGATTGTTGAAATCAGAGTCAGACAACATAATTGTTTTCAATTATTGTTGAAGAATTTAGACGTATCAGTCTTCAAAGTAAAACTACTCCCCTCCCCCCCCCCTTCCTCCCACACACACACACTACGTCTCCTGTTTTCATAACTGGTACTGGTAGATGATGGCGCCAACTGATGGGAATGAGCACGGGATAAAAACTGAATAAAACCACACAAACACACACACACACACACACAGAGAGAGAGAGAGAGAGAGAGAGAGAGAGAGAGAGAGAGAGAGAGAGAGAGAGAGAGACAGACAGACAGACAGACAGACAGACAGACAGACAGAGACAGAGAGAGAGAGAGAGAGAGAGAGAGACAGACAGACAGACAGACAGACAGACAGACAGAGAGAGAGAGAGAGAGAGAGAGAGACAGACAGACAGACAGACAGACAGAGAGAGAGAGAGAGAGAGAGAGAGAGAGAGAGAGAGAGAGAGAGAGAGAACATCATAAACAGAATGTTTGTGTTAGAGAAGCCATGAGTCTCAAGAGTTGTCACCATTAGCTGAAATTGCTGGCAAGAGGCACTTCTGAGGTGAAGGGCATCTGTGTAGTACATGTACAGGCATGTATTGAATTTAGCGAGAGAGATAGAGAGAGAGGGGGGGGGAGATCAAGTAGATGAGAAAGATAAATAATAAAACTTGTTATTTTCTGCGTTGTTGAAAATGTCTTCAGTGTGAGGAAGAGGCTAGACTTCATTTTGTAAAGTGTTTTACGGCGCTCGCAACTGCATAGGTCATATGAGCGCGCGGGACACACCTAATATTTTCAATTGGTAGGAAATTTTGAATTTTGCCCGGGTGGCGGCCGAAGCCTACTCTTATCGATTTTAGACCACCAAGGGATCTTTAACGTGCGCAACTTGCACACGGGCCCTCCGAGATTTTTCGCCCTTGTCCGAGAAGGCTAGGTGTAGATCTTTCCTACCAGAAGATCAGGGGTGTGGCTGAAAGACAGCAGTAAGAAGAAGCGAAGGAGTAGCAGTAGAAAGGCTGCAGAAAGAATCAGGAGCCCAGAGGAAGAGGCAAAGGAGGTGAGGGGTTGGGGGCCGAAAGAGGAGACGAAAGCAGACGACAGAACATTGCTAGAGAGCAGGAAAGGAGGTGAAAGGAGACAAATTTAGAGAAGAAAACTTTTAAGTCGCTGCCCGGATTCGAACCCGGGACCTTTTGAATGAGAGGCCAACACCTTAACCTCTAGGCCACGAGAGCCCCCTAGGCTAGACTTAGTAGACCTTTAGGAGGATAGAAAACGAAAAATGATTAATTTATAAAAGATAAATAAAGTAATAGCTTTTGGCTCGGTAGAAATTTTTTAAAGTAAGTTAGGCTAAATGCAATCCATCGTGCATTTTTGGTATTATATACTTCAAAGGGCCCTCGAATCTGCTCATAGAGCCACCTGTATGAGCAAATGGCCAGTACAAACAGCCATTCCTAACTTCTCCCATTGTAGGGGTTGTTGTTGTGTTGTTGTTGTTTTTGTTGTTGTTGCATTATTATAATGACACTGTAAGATGTCCAACCTTCTAAGACAACCGCTTTTTTCCTCGACAATGAGTGGCCGTCTTCAATAATTTCCAAGTGTACATGTAATTGGACAAGTGATGTCAAAGATATGTTGACGTCAGACACGTACACATCTTCCTGGCGTGTCACGTAGACCCTATTTGATAAAGAATAAAGTACCCGAGTGGGTTATGAAAGGCACGCTACTGTGCTCACAGGGGGGTGGTTCCACACGAAATAGTCTCGCTGGCAAAAGTGTACTTCATCAATCGAAGGTAAACGGGGCAGGGGTGGACCCAGAGCAACCTAAATGGAGAGCCTAAACAGATAAATGACGGGGGAAAAACTCAGAATAACGCTTCAGTCGCTTTTTAGAGCATCAGAACAAAGGAATGAATGAAAAACAATGATCGGTAATGTTTGTCCCAGATCTGACACTTGATGATGACGATTTGTGGTAGAAAACCCCTCACATTCAGTATACAGTGGAACTCGGATTCAACGAGGTTGCCGGGCCTGACCTAAAATATCGTTGAATCCGAGTGTTCGCTATAGCAAACATGAGGTTTTGTATACATAATTATAGGCACTGAGCAGGTAATATATAAAGAGAAGTCACAAATAGTGCCTGAAATGCCCGAATATTATGAGCTGGGTAAAAGAAAAAGACCGATTCGTTCAAATGCATTCCTGTGTCATTTCGATTGTTTACCACAAAGTTGTGTTGCTGTGTAGATCCTAACAAAACGGCAACGTTTGATTTCATTGACAAGCGCACAATTCATTACGAAAATCTACGTCAAGACTAGTTTATCATTGTAATAATGATCAGTTGCCGAGGGGAAAAAAAGACTGTGACGCGTTTGTATCTGCGACGTTCAACGCCCGGATCGCTAGTGCG